TCTTATTTAACAAATATATATATATATAAAAGAAATCAATTTAAAGTTCAATAAAATATAAAAAAAAATAAATTGCTTTAAAAAATTGCTATTGCTTATTTTTTTTTTCTTAAAAAGAACTTGAAATTTTTTTTCTAAATAAATTTTTTTTTTATCTGAGAAAAATTTTTAAAAAACTTATTAAAATTTTGTTTAAATTCAATTTTTTTTCAATTCTTTTCAACTTTTACTTAAACTGTATAACAATTATAATATATATGAAATATATATTAAATTATATATATATATATATATACATTATTTGAGTGTTATTATATACCAATATTGGAAATTTTAAAATTTTAATTGAAAACTAAAATTTTTGAACTTAAAATTGGATTACATAAAAAATATTATAACAGTATATTAAAATTTTGTGAACTGTGCTACTAAAAAAGTATATAGAACAAAAAGAAACATAAAATTTTCTTAAATACAAAAATATTATATATAATTTTTTTTTTGCAATTTTAATCCGTCTAAAGTTTATTGCGGTTTCGTATAAGGAAAAATTTAGAAAAAAATAAAATAAAATTTTGAGCGATTTGTTTTTGGTTTTGGTTTTGCAAATTTTGCCAAGTGAATTGTGTGTGTGTGTTGTTTTTTATTTTCCAAAAAAAAATTTCTATAAAATATTTTCTGAATATTTTGGAGACCATCACATATAATTAAAATAAAATTTTTTATTAAAATTACTCTTTAAAAAATAGGCAGAAAATTTTTATAAAAAAAAAAAAAATCTTTGATTTTTGCATTTGCTTACATGAAAGCGTATTTGTAACACCTATTAGAAATTCTAACAAAGAAAAAACAAAAAATTTGGAAAACAACAAAAAAAAAAAGTGATTTGAATTTTTTGATTTGCTGTCCTAAATTTACTTGCAATATTTTTACAAATAAAAATTTTATATTTAAAAAAAAATCAAATTTTACAGAATAAAAATAAAAAGTCCATTTTTTATAAAAAAAAAAAAATCATAATAATAAAAAAAAATTATACTGTTTTTAAATTTTATTTTTGTTTTATCTTGCGCTTAAAATTCAAATTTTGCCAATATATATATACATTTTTTTCTCTTAATTTCAAAGGATAATAAAAATTTATTTTTAAAAAATTTTGTAGTTTAAATTATATTAAAAGTGCTTTTGCAAACAAAAAACAAACTTATATAAAAAAAATATTAAAAAAAAAATTTTCATTTTTGGCCATTTGCTTTTGTCTTTTTGTTTAAGGGTAAAGTGCATTAAATATATATATATATATATATATATAACAAACTATATAAAATTTGAAAGTATAAATAGGTAAATTAAATTTTTTAATAAAATATATATTTATGTATATACTTATATACACAAAATTATACACAAAATTCATATATTTATTGCAGCAAATACAAAAAGGAAAATTTTTGATTTCTTGGGAAAAATCGAAATATTGAGAAATTGAATTTAGTGTAGTTACTTACTATATTATAATAAAAAAATTATCTGTTATATACGTACATATTCATACATTATATAATTTTGATATATATAACTATATATATCATATAAGGATATTGAATTTTATAATAATTCTATTTTATACTCTATATATTCGGATATACATGTGTATATATTTTAATTTCTGCAAAAATTGAATGACTTGTACAAAAAAATTCGAATGTTTTACACCCTACTTATGTTATAAAATATGTATATATTGTATAAAATGTATTCTGTATATACTCTTGCATTATACCGAATTGAATATGTAATACAGAAAATAAATAGGGTCGTATTTTGTATACATATATTCCGATATATATGTATACCCGAACGTATATATCAAATTAAAATACATAACACACAATGAAAAAAAAAAATCAAGAGATAACATATTTTGCGGAACTTTTATTTTCTTTACAAAATTTTATATTTATCTCTTTTATTATTATTTTTATTCTTCATTCTATATAAAATTGTTCAAAATGAGAGTAAAAACTTAATATAATATGCAGAAAATATTTGCAGAGCAACAGAGTAATAAAAAAATGATGAGTTAATAAAAATGCATTTCTCTATCTATGCAATATACAACAAAAAAAATTCTCTTCGAATGTATAATTGTGCTCAATGAAATCAAAAATTTCTCCACAAATTTAATGTTACATTTTTCGCTCTTTTTCATTTTATTATATAAAATTATAAAAGGAAAATTTTTAATGCGCATAATTTTTCTTTCCTTATTGCTGCAAAAAAAAAAAAAAAACCATTATAAATCATTTTTTATATATAATAAAAAAAATTTTATTTAAAAAATCATATGATTTCGAACACAAATTCGAAAATAATTCGAAATGTTCTATATGTATTTATAATCCAGTTTTTATTATGTATATGAATTACAATATTTTCAGTTTTTTGTTTTTGATTTTGAATTTTCCCACTAATATATACATGTATATATATATATATATATATATTTATAAATATATGGAAAATAAGTTTTATATATTTTTTTAGCTATACATCCGTTCTGCTTACCAGTTAAATATCAAATAAAATAACTCACCCTGAACCTGAATAATTATAGTTTAAAAAAATTATCTGCATATACTATGTATAACTAAAAAAGACAGAAATATATAATTCGAATTTCGAAAATATAGTGAAATTTTTTCGAAATTCGAAAATATATAGAGATTACAAAATAGTATATACAACAAAAAAAAAAAGAAATGAAAATATAACGTATGTATATATGTGTATATAGGTAGAGAAAATGAAAAATAATAATAATAAAAAAAAAAAAAATTGTTCTCTCCTTAACCTCAGCTGATATAAGTTTATTGTGCTAGTTCAATATTTTCTCTTATTCATTCATTATATACATTATTATATAGATATTATTATATAGTATACCGTTATTGCAAATTCACACCTTAGTTACACTTAGTTACATATACAAACACAAATACATTTTATCTGATTTTATTAACGGTATATAGTAGTTGAACACACCTAAATTATAAACTGTTATATTTTTGTGTATTGAATTAAAATTACGAAATAACACATACAAATTTTCAATTTTTTCTTTATTTTTAATTTAATATATCCTTATTACTATTTTGTAAATGTAATAACAGTTTTTACTGTAGTGTTATACACATATTATATTATGTAAAAATTATTAAAATGTATTTAGTTTTTCGAAATTAGAGAAAATTCTATTTTATTTTTTATTCTTATTTTCTCATTTTATTTTTCGAATTCGAAATAAGTAAATAATACAATGCATATGCGAATTTTTGTTTTGTTCTTTTGTTTTTTGAAATATTTTATCGTAATTTACTGTTATACACCCAAGTTACAATTATTTTGTTATACTCATTTTTGCAATACATTCAAACAAATTAAATTTAATAGTATATATTTATATAATATTGTATATATGTATATATATATATACTAATACATTTACAAATTATATTCCTATTTATAAACACATATATTCGTGTGTGTGTGTGTATGTATATAAATAAAATAAAGTATATTGGAAAATAAGGAAATTAAAAAATATATTTGAAATCAAAGAAATATCGTTTCGAGAATAATCACTTCGGTAATTTCAGTCGACTCTGAGCTTTCACCGTCATCATATATTGTGACCGCTTGACTTAAAAATAAAAAATTAAAATATATATTTAATATATCTACATATTATATGGTTATAATAATAATATAATTGAGAAAAACAACAACAACAAAAAAAAAGAAAAACAATATTGGAAGTCAAAATTGAAAACAGACAGTAAAAAAAAAAATCAAAAATATAAAAATAATAGTGTACTAATAATACTTCAAATATCTTCCTTTTGACATACATACATACATATATATATATATATGTGAAAATACATATTTATACAATTATATTTTAAGATATATATAAAGAAATTAATTGTATACATGTGCATACATACAAGTATATAAAGAAAATTTTTTATTATTTTTGTTCGGCATTTTTAAACACATATCCCTTGGAAAAGTATAAAATAAAAAAAAAAAAAAACAAAAAATATTGAAGAAGAAATTTAAATTTCAAACAAAATTTAATTTTTATTTTTATTTTAGAAATTCAGTTGAAATCTTGCCGTGAAGTATAAAACTACTATAGTACCTTTGCTTTCCAATATCAAATATAAAAATTAAAAATTTAAAAATTGAAAATTAAATTTTAATATCTGTGAGTTTGTAATATTGAAATGACAAGAAATTCAATTGTCAATTAAATTAACATAAAAATTAAAAAAATAAAATAAAAATATTTTAAATTTCTCAAAAATCAGCTCAAAATTGAATGGATTACAATTTGTTAAATCTCATTTAAAGAAAATATAATAAAAATAAATTTAATAATTCGGGAAAAAATTTTAAAATTAAAAAAAAAATATATTCGTACCGCAAATAGTAATACAAAAAAATAAAACAAAAACAAATATGCAAAAATCAGAAAAATAGAAAAAAAAAATTAATCTTTTTATCCTTTCTATTATAAATTTCTTTGCAATTCCCAAAAAAATTATTTACAATATTTTAAGCACCGTGATTCTAATATTAAAGGAAAAATAACAAAAGCAAAAAATTAAAATAATAAAATAATAAATACAAAGCAAGAGAAAATATAATAAAATAAAAGGAAAAACAAAATACAAAAAAATAAAAAAAAATAATAGAAGAAAAATGCAGGACAATTAAATTCGGGTGCGGCCATATTTTGCTCGTGTTTTTCATTCTTATTTTTCGTGTTTTTTTCTTCTATATTCGGCTTTTTTTTTCCCTTTCAAAAATGTATACATATTTTTGTATATCATTTATATAGGATTGAGGATTATTACATAGTTATTGTAGACTTCTTCTATAGTTCACATTGTACTCTTTTATATTATACAATATATTTTCGTCCTTTTTATATAGCCTAAAGTCTTCGTCTTGACACAATTGGTAAAAGAAGTCTCTAAGTATTCTTTTAATTTTTCTTTTTTAAATTTTTCTTGCTAAAATAAAAAGAAAAGAATTTTAGTGTTATAAAAAAATTACAAACCCGAAGACAAGAACGATTTTATCGAGAACTGCAACGACGACGGTAATTTAATTTTCTGATTTTTTCTTCTACTTATAATATAAAGTCTTTTAAGAAAATTACATTAAAGAAAACGATAAAGAACAGAAAAAAATAACGTTTTTTCTTTTATTATAATTATTTTTTCTTGTTATTTTTTATAAATTTTATTTATTTATTTTTTTTTTAAATAAATTAAATAAAATATATGTTTTTTTGTTTTGCTGTTGTTGAAATGGAAATTGGAATAAAGAAAGGATAAATAAATAACCGGATTCATAAATAAAAAAAAAAAAAACACAGATTTTCATAAGAATAAAGATGAAAAGGACACTTTTTCCCTTTGAAATTTTTTATGAAAAAAGGAATAAAATAATAATAAACAAAAGGAAAATAAAATAATAATGAGGCTGTGATTTGATAATAAAAAAATAAAATATTTATAAAATATTTTTTTTTTTTTTTTGAAATTCGTTAAGATCAGTGAAAAAATTTATTAAACAAATTAAATTTTAAAAGAAAATTTAAATTTTAATAATTAAATGGAATTAGAAAAATTTGTGAAAGTTTTAGGATAAAAAAATTCCCATAGTTAAAATTTTGGAAATACAAAGGATTATTAAATAATTTAATTAAATTATTGTTTAGATTCCAATTATATTTGATCCAAATATCCTTAAAAAAATATAATATTTATATTACATATGTTACTTAATTAATTTTATACATACATACATATTATATAATATTTGTAGAATTATAATTATTAAAAATTCATGCACAAATTTTATAATTTGCACCTTCTACAATTTTTTATATATTCTCACTCAAATATCATTAAATTAATTTTGTATATTTGAATTTTATTAATTGAATAGCGTTTCACAATGAAAATTTTAATTTGAAGAACTGTTTTCCAATATAATTTAATTTCAGTTTTAAAACAAACACAAAATCAACAAAAATTTTAATAATTTAAAAAAGTAAAATTGCCTAAATTTATGCAAAAAATATTTTAATTTATTAATATTCTGTTATTTATGTCAATACACAAGTACAATATCCAATAATATTATACTTGAGCATTGAATATTGCTCAACAAAACATACATATTAGAATATTTATTGGATACTATTTTATATTGATCATATATATATCATACGATAAAAAACATATGATCATATTATATGGTTTGCATATAAGATCAATTATACTTATTTGTATGTTATAAATTCTATTGAAATTATTCGTATATGTAGAAACTATTCGTATATAATTGAAAATTGAATTGAAAATTATTTCTGATAAATTTTTAGATTTTTATATTAATTACGTTATAAAATGTTTTCTTATAGTTTTACAGTATAAAATTTTACTCATAAATTTTATTCGATTCTAAAACTCAAATATTAAGTAAACCTTTGTGATTAATTATATCGTAAATTCTTATGTAAGATTAGAATCAATTGATTCTTAATAAATTTATAATATTATTATAAATTTGGATAATATACCCAATTTGGATAATATACCGTATAACAGAGAAAGACAATACACCAAACATAAGGACCGAAAAAATTATGTAATATTTCAAAATTCTTGTAAATTTTTAACACTCATGTCTAAAATATATTAAAAACATATTAAGCGAAATTTTGCAATAAACATACATAATAAAGAAGGTATTATTGAAAATTTTTTAAATGTTCTCCCAAAAGTATGCAATTTTTTTGAAGCTAAGTAAATTTTAAAATTATATAGGAAAACAACAGCTATAATTAAATATAATAATTTTATCACCCACACACACTTCCTTCATTATATAAGATCTGCCCCTAATTGTATGCAAAAATAATATAAAATTATTTTTATTATTTAAAATATTATTTTTTCACATAAAATTTTTTTGAAAAAGTTTTCTTAAATTTCATATACAAAATTTCAAGGTATTTTATTAAATTTTCTCTTTTTAAAGTATCAAAATAAAAGCATTACATAAAACAATTGAGAGAGAAAAAAAAGGAAAAGAATTATTGTCTCGACAAAATTGTATGTTCTTTTCTATAAAGAAAAAAATCCAACACAATTTGTGTGTGTGAGTTGTGTTCATTTCAATAGAGACAAAATAAAATATTAATGTAGGTGTTAAAATTTAAATTTATAATAATAAACAATTGTAAAAATACGTAGGTTGCTAATTTTTATCTATCTACTACAAAGCTGATTTTCAGAATTTAAAAAAAAAATTTTTTTTCTTCTTTTCTTTGAACCTCCCTACAAATTTTACTGTCTGATTAATGAAAATTTAATACTTAAAATTACTTAATTTAGTTAAAGGTAAAATTCAAGGTATTTCATTTATAAAAATTTATAAAGTATTTTTATATATAATGAATGATGAACAATAAGCTTTTCGCTTTAAATAAAGTTAATTAAGATTTAATATTATGGTATTAAGAGCGAAAACTGTCAAAGTCAAATTTTTGACTTTTTCATTTTATTACAAATTCAAATTTCTTATAGTGTAATAAATACTCTGTATAAATATGGTTGTATTATCTCACTTATTTTCGAAATTATAGGCATAAGTTTAAAAATTTATGTTCTTAAAATCTTAATTTTCATATCTAATTTGGTAAGCTCTTTCGGACAATTTGATTTCATTGTAGTTTTGTTTATTTTCTGTCGAAAATTTATTAATGTAACTCACTTTGTTCCCAATTTATGAATAAATAGCATAAAAATCACAAATTTTCAATTCAATTTTTACAAAACACGTTTTTTTGTCGACTTACATTGATTTTTCTAACCATAATTAGTTTGGTTTTTCTTTTGAAATTATTCAAAAAATTATTGTTTTTTTTTTTTTTTAAGCAATTAAGTAAAATTTGCAAAGCAAAAAAATAATTCGACTTAATTTCATTTTATAAACGACATGAAAAACAATAACAACAAACAAAAATAAAATTAATTGCCATCGTTTATTTTTACATTTCTTTTCAATAATTTTCACCATAAGAAGAAAATAATTTTCTTGAATTTTTGTTGTTTTCCTTTTTTTTCTTATTTTTTATAATATACGTAATTCGGCATGTCATGCATACTATTCATATGATATACAATAAATTTCATCCTCTTCTGCAGTTTTGCGTGTTTCTTAATTTTTATTTTCTTACTTTTCAGAAAATTTTTACTAAAAATAAATTTTCTCCAAAAAAAAATACAGAAACAAAAAAATTTACAAAAAACTCTTCAGAAAAATTTTGATTAGGAAATTTTTTTTTTCCATGCTTTTCCAAATTACTTCATCGATATATACATACAAACATATGAAATATGAACATTATGTATTTTAAATCATATTTTGAGTAATATTACTTCAAGTATACCAGTGTATAACATTTATATAGATCAATATAATATATTCATTATTACAACAACAACAACCATATTTATTATAAAAGGTACATAATGTATAAGTGATGAATTTTGAGGATGGCAGATAAATTCTATTTTCGGTTAAAAAATATTTTGTTTTTTTTTTCCTGATTTTCAACAAAATATCATCAAGAATTTGGAAAACAGAGAAGAGATATTTTTCTTTCTTACATTATTTTCTTCCTCGTATAAAATTTTGCTTTTAAAATTATGTATTTCACTTTGATTTTCTATTTAAATTATGCATAACATACAGAAAATATGAGAAAAACGCTGAAAAAAATGTATGTGTACGCAATATTATACATGAAAATAACATGACATGAAAAAGACGAAAATTTTAAAATACCCAGACGACGAGCAAAAAATAAAAAGAAAAAAAAATATATGAAAATGCCATGTAAAGTAATGAATTTTTGCGAAAAACCAAAAAAAAAAAAAAAAATTCTAGAAATAATTCATGTAGGGAAAAATTTTTTGTCTATATGCAATACTTTTGAATATTTTTGGATTTTTAATTTTTTTTTTGTGTTATTGAAAAGAAAATGTTCTTTTTATTTGAGATTTGACTGATTGTATCGATTTTTGCCTTCTACTTATACGAAATTTTTTTTTGATTTCAATAATAAATATTTAATTATTGGAAATAAAATAAAAAAAAAAATTTTTTTACGATTATTTGGTTAACAAATTTCTTTTTATTTTTATTGTTATTACGGCGACATACAAAAATAGTTTAGGAAATTATGTACTTTGTAATTGTGCCTATTAGAAATTTGATAGAAAGGGTTTAATATAGAAAGGGGTTCTTCCGTTTAAAACGTTTAAAATTGCTTGATTTTACTATATTAAAAATTTTATGTTCTTATATTCAATTATGTGAAAAACATGCTTAAGTTTTTAGTACTCGTTTTAGTACTATGAAAATTATATGATTTTAGTATTCTCAAAAACAGTATTAAAAATTTGTTTAAATACTAAACATTTAGTATACTCTTGCATTTGATGATTAACAGAAAATTTTGGTTTTAGTACTATTTTAGTACGCGTTACTATTTTAGTATTCTCTTTATATACTATTTAAGTAAATATAAATATTACATGTTATAATTCTCAATGGTACGTTATTTTAAAAATATTTAATATTTTTTAAGTATTCCGATTACTATTTTAGTAATTAGTCCTTTTTTCGTATTTGGTTACTAAGAAAAAAATGTTTTAATAGTTCCTTTAGTTTTCATTTAGTATTAAAACAAAAAATAATTAAGTTTAGTATCACTATTAACAAAATACTATTATAGTATTTTACGTTATTGTTTTATATACTAGTAGTATACTATTAGTATATAGTATGAAAATTTAATCTATACTCGTACTTTGTATTCTTTTCAGAACAATATATGCTTTCATAGTAAAGTTTTCATAATATAGATAAACGACTTTATAATTATTGTAATTTTTTCAGTAAAAAGTTTATTATGTAATAATGGTCTCAAGTGTCTGAAAACTGTTATACTATTATAAAAGATCCTTTTATACATAAACTTTTTACTTTTTACACTAATTTTTTAAAAGTAACTTTTTCGTTAATTTTTTGCTTAAAAAATCCAAAGTAGATTTTTTTGGTTTTTGAAAGTATAGAGTGCATTCTATTATAAAAGCGCTCAAGTAACTACCCTTTTTATTCAATTTTCCTCTATTATATATTAATACATTGATAAAGAATATAAATGACACTTTATGGATACTCGTTTTACTTTTAAAAAACTCATTAAAACTTATATAAGAATAAAGAAGAATACAAAATTAGAAAAGAACTATGAAAATAACACACGAAAAAAAAAAATATACTCAAGTTTCATTGACTTCCAGCTATAGCTAAAAAATAGATGCAACTAGAGAGTTTTCCATGGATAATTGCATTTCAAAAGAAAAATTTAAAAACCATAAAAATAAAGAAAAATCTAAAGTCAAAATTGTGTACTTTTTCTATGGAGTTTTTAATATTTCGAAAAATTATAATAATTACAGTTTTCCTTATATTTGTAGTCTTTATTATTAAACGCATCTGAAAAGTTCAAAATAACTTGATTCAAATATACAAAATTAATCCATGTATATAATAACATATATATAGTTTGTTAGTATATTGTATAACAGTTTTGAAATTTTTTTTAGAAAATTATTTTTAAACAAAATATTTTAATTATATTAAAATTGTAAGAGTATAAAGTGGTACTTTGAAATCAGGTTCAGGCAGGCAGGCAGGCAGGCAGCCAGGCAGGACCATTTTTATAACATTATATCCTTTTTAATTATTTTGTTATATACAAAATATATAAGCATTTCTCATTTTTTCTTTTCCTTATACTTAATTCACAAAAATAATTCAAACAAAATTAATTTAATTTTTTCAGATTTCTCTCAGTTTTTAAAAAAACAAAAAGAAAAAGAAAAATTTAAATAAAAACTTTTATTGAAGAAATTAATTAAAAATAAACATACGAATTTTTAAAATAAACATTGAAATTATATACATACAAATATACAAAACAAGTAAAAGAACAAGTTATTAAAATATACAATTAAAAATTAAAAGCAAAATATATATATAAGAAAAATAAGAATTAAAAAAAAACAAGAAAAGTTTTTGACTAACAAAAATCAGTTAAAAGGTCATAAAAAGCGTTAAAGCAAAAAAAAAGCAAGAAAAACAAACCAAAAAGCAAAGAAATAGAAAAAGAAAAGTAAAACAGAAAAAAAAAACCAGTGAATTTTTTAATTTAAATTTTTTTTTTGGTCAAAAGTGTGATAAACTTTCTGTGATGGGGGATGAAATCAATCCCACTAATGATGGTAGCAAGAAAGAAGCAGCAGCAGCTGATAATGGAGCAACAACTCCATCGGCAGCAGCAGCAGCCGAAGCAGGAGCAGTGAATGGAAATGGTGGTGCAGTTGTAAATGGTGTTGGTGCACCATCTGCTTCATCAGCTGAAGAAATGGTAGCATCTTCAGCAGCTACTAATAACAATGATGATGATGGTATGAAAAGTGATGAGAAAAACTCTAAAAATGATAATGGTAATGGTGATGGTAATGGTGGCGGCGGCAACGGCAATGGTGACGACGGAAAACATGGTGATGAAAATGGTATTGTAACATCTGGTAATAATACCATTAATGAAACTAACGGTGCTAATAATGATGCTAATATTGATGCAGCTGAAGAAGCTAATGAAGGCGGCGAACAAAACGGTAATGGTGGCGGTAACGGTAATGGTGGTGATGGCGACGGTAATATTAATAATGATGTTGGTAATGATGGTAATCAAGAAAATACCGATGATGGTGATGCAATTGATGATGATCCTGCTTGTCCAGCTGATGGTGGACAAACAGATGGTGGTGAAACTGATGCTGAAGGTGGTTTAAATACTGAAGATGGTGGTATTGGTGGTGGTACCGGTGGTCCACCAACTGATCCCGGTTTATTATCTGAAGGATTGTCTAGTTTAGTTGGTGTTGGTCCACCAAGTCCATTAACTGGTTGCTATTTATTAATTATTTTGAGTGAACCACATTCTGATGAACATAAGGATATTATATTGCAACGTTTAATTAAAGGTAAGTGATTTTTTCATTAATATTATTACGAAAAAAAAAAAATATAAGAAAAAAATAATAATTAGAATTTTTCCAATATCATATGGTCAGGTACAATAATTATGTGTTTTGAATATTATATATTCACACATACATATATGTATGCATTTATTTGTTCATACATTTATGTAATATTTTCTCGATTTTTGCAAAATATTTCAATTTATTTCGTGCAAAGAATATTTGATTTTCTTTCATAAATTTTTCGTTCTTTACATATTACTGTTTTTTAATTAATTGTATGGAGGAAATGATAATATTAATTGATAATGTAGTAGGGCTTATGAAGGAGAAGAACAGGAGGGTAGGAGAGAGTAAAAGAGATTCATTTATCTGAATAATATTGAAACCATTAACCTTCAATCTCTGATAGGTTATAGAAATTTGCTTCCATTTTATTTTTTTAGAATATTTTTTTTAAGGTCGTCTTTTCACATATTTTAACAAGCGTTTTTATTCATAAAAAGTAATTTCGAAAAATATACCCTTAGACTTAAATGGTACTCTTCAATACTTGTACAGAAAAAAAAAATCAAGGACTTATAAGGGGGTTTAAAGGGTTAAATATTGAAATATGTGAATGTGTGTTAAAATATGTGTATATATAGAAAAATTTTGTAAATTAAAATTCATTGGTATGCAAAAATAAAAAAAAAAAATTGGTTAGTCATGTCTTAAATGAATACTTTTTTTCTAAAAAACAACAAAAAAAAAACTGATTTTTTCTAATAAAAAAAAAAATACAAGATTGTTAATGAGAGTAGACAATACGAGTAGGTTTGGGCTATGGTAAATTTATAATTAGGTTTTCGAGAAAAATTACAAATATTAATGAATTTTTAATGTTTGAAAATGTTTTTTTTGAAAAATGAGGTTTTTAAATTTTTTGTTGGGCTGTAATGTTGAGCATTAATTAAAATTCGAATATACGTAATGGAAGAGGAATTAAGATAAGTGGTAACGTTATTCTGAATATACCGAGTTTGTGCAAAATGTTGCTTCATTTTTTAACTCTAAGCTATTCATATTACATTTAAATTAATAAAACCGTGGTACACTGGTGTTGGAAAAACGCAATCTCGAAAGTTTATTGACAAAGCATAGTCTCGCTAAATAAAGTTGAAATCTCGCTATATAAAATGTAAATAATTATTAGAAAATATCAAATTTGAAATATACTGTCAAATAAATTTGTAAAATTTGAAATATGCCGCGACTACATCCCCTAGTGAGATATATTTGAACTATATTATGTCAATAACGTCTGTTTGTATATTTATCATAATTAATTGAAGAGTGTTAAAAGTGGAAGGGTAAAATGGCATTTTTTTGCAAATTTCACAGCATCCCTACTTTTGATATTTAGTTTTTTACGGGATTAAAAAAAGCAATCAGAAAATCAGAATATAAATATTAAGTTTTCCCGAAAATATAAAAATATTACTTAACTGTTTAATTTAAAATCAATTTAATCATAAAAAGAATAATTTTATTAATTGTTAGATTTATGATTGAATAATAATCAGAATTTTATGTCAACTTAAATTTTATATTAAAATTTTTACTATACCCTTTCTTTTCTAACATGTCATTTTAATAATTTGTTATGACGTAAATCCGCCGCCATATTTATTGTATATGTAATTCAAAAATTATGGGTCAATTTCTTAATCAATCAAATAGACATTCCTCATTTTTTTGACATTTCTATATTTTTATTAATAATATTAGAAAATATAAAAATAAAAGAAAAAGGGGAGAAAACAAAAACAAATAATTTTTTGACATTTTTTTTTTCTATTTTATTTTATTTGTCACGTTCCAAAACCACATTATTTATAATAACAATATTGAATTTTTGCTCTTATGTCTTTTGGGTTTTTTTTTTAAATATATTTTAATAGAAAAAATGAATAAAGAGGCACGAATCATAAATTATCCCATATGAAATGGTTCTTTTAAAAGTAAAAATCTGTTTATGTATGGCAGAATTTTTTTTACGTATATTCTCTATAATTTTGATATTGAAGTATCACGTTATTCATACAGTCAAAGTAATCGATCAACTTAATAAATTGTTAAAATGGAATTGCTTCTATTTTATACCATTATTTAAAATTTTTTAATTTTTATTGATTGAAGTACTATGAATCGAACTGCATGAGCACTGTTTCTAAGTCCTTGTTTTCGATTTAATCGATATAAAACAAATAAGGCACGTTCCAGTAAAATTTCTAATTTGAGATTTTTTTTTATCAATAAAAGACCATGTAACTAATTATGACTTGGACTGACTTAAGATGAAATTGTTATACACGAATATACATATTTGTTAATATGTTATTTGCGGTTTCAATTAAGGTTTATGTTGTAATGTAATCTGATGCGGAGTAGTTTGTAAATGGAATGGAATCTTTTGTTTTTGAAACTCTTATTAAATAGGAGAAAAAACTAAACATATTTTGAATATAACAATAAAAAGCTATCTATCGGAATGAATGTGCGTAACTATTCTCTCAATAGTCTGGTGTGCGAATAAATGTGCGTAGCTACTCTATCAATTATACCCGCATAATCTCTTATACGGCTGGAACGTAAAAACAATTCGCAAAATAATTTATTTCATTATTTCTTCTCTTAATATTTTTGTTAACTTTTGTAGAATTCGCTTATGGTACACCTCATAATTCTATTATATTCTGAGTATTATATTCTAAGTATTATATTCTATGTTCAGAGAAATACATGCTAAGAGAAAACGACATCTACATGATAAATCGATAATTTAATATAACATACTATTATATAGTATAACACTATATAATTTTATATATTTGCGGTACCTATCACACTTAATTAAAAAATTTCAACACTGCGTATTAAAAATTATTATTATTGTTTAAAGTTTGAGGTTAGAGATTATTTTGAGGTTATATATAATTTTTTGAGGTTATGTGTATCATATATTAATATACGAAAACATAAATAATCGTTAAAATCACACAAGAATTTCATAATTTATAATATTGTGGCATAATAAATGTTAAAAAGAAAATATGAGTGTAAATATACACACATGTAGACGTATAAAAGTATAACACGTAACGTATATGTTATTTCATACAAGTATAACAATTATTTCTCTTATCAATAAAAATGAAAATACTAATAAATCAATTTAGAAGAAACGTAAAAAATATAAGACATAGGAAAAAGAAAGAATAAAAATGAAAAATCTCTCGGTACTCTTTCTTTATTCCTTGAACATACATTTATCTTAACAATTTTTTTTTCTAAAAGAAAAACAAAATTAAAATTTAATTTTTGCTTTTGGAAGGAAGGAAATAAAATGCGGATAACAGAGAAATATAAGCAAAAAGCAAATCGGAGTCTAGAGAAAATGTTCTCTTTAATTATAATTTTTTTTATGCTTATACAGTTCACATGCGATTCTTAAATTTATAAAATCATATAAGCAGTCCAAGAAAGATTTGCATATTAGCTCGACAAGCTTAAATATTCGAGGATAATATTCTATTTGTTTCTGTTTTTGGCCAACTGGTTAGATTGTATTGGTGAACAATAAGAGGAATATAGGAACATCAGTGTGTATTCTTGGTAGAATAGTCAAGAGTCTCCGGACATTTGACGTGATTTTAGCATATAGTGGCAGAAGTTTGCGATTTAAGAGGGGAAGTTGGCTGCTTTTTCGAAACATAGACTATTTTGTGGATTTATTGTATTATTTTTATTGCTGGCGATAGCTCTCCTCACTTGCTATTGATTTATGTCGCATGCGGCGTTTAGTCATTATTTTCTAATTTCAAATACAATTGCAAATAATATTTTGAATTAAAATTCTACGTGTACTAAAATTTGATTGCTTCACTGTTCATTTTATAACAATATTTCCATGTAATAATTCTTTGATATATGCTTAGACATATTATATAAATCTTTAGTATACAAACATTACATCCTTTCTCGGTACGGAATTACATTACGTACATATATGTATGTTGAAAATGGAAGTATTTAATAATATTATGTTTTCCATGCATTGTAAGCAAAAAGAAAAAAAAATTTATTATTTTTATACAATTTCTAGCTCATATACTCTTGTATATTATTTACTATACTTATATATATTCTGATTATTGCATACAATACAATGTATATGTATATTCATTCATCTTAATTCATTGCGTTCATTTGACTGCTTGTCTTCTTGTAGTTTCTTGTTCTTTGAATATAATGTAGACATTCTTTTTGAGCCTTTAAAAAAGAAATAATATTTTTTTTATTTGTATACGATTTTTATGTATGTACGAATTTTGTACACAATACACATAATTCTGTATGTGTTATCATCATACTAAAGATTTTAAAATTTTAGGATCTGAAATTTTTCAACAATTCTAAAAATTAGAGCAATTTCTTCATCAATTTTGTGAGACTTTCAGTATATATGCAGAGAATATTAGGTGTTGCAGAACTGCAAATTATATTTAGTTAAAACGCGATTAGAATTTTTGACATATGTCATATGTCATTCTTATTCGGTTGTCAAAATTTTTGGTATCAGCTGATTTTCTCCTCTTATCCTCGTTTCTCTCTTATATGTGCAAAAGAGCCTTTGAAATAACAATTTTTGAAAGAAATCGATTTAGAATTTTTATTTTAGAATTCCAGTGCTGGCTGCACTTTAAAATTTTTCATGAAGTAGTGATGTATTCTGAATGAAATATTGGACAATACAAGAGTCAAGAAAATTTTAGAAAATAATTATACTACCAATTCATTGTGCAAAATTTCCAATCAAGGTGATGCAATTGATTGCAAACAACTCTCACTCATATTCTTAAGTTTATATTTGAATGACATTAGTTAAACTGGAAATTTTTGATTGCAATCATGTTTTGACGTACCGTGTATGTCGCTTACCACACTGATGGTTGTGA